TCCCAGAATCTGGCACGTGCATCCCACACAGCTAGGTTAACACAGAAGATGGAGCTGTTCTACTATAGAAAATGAAGAAAAAGAAAAGATGCCATCAAGAGAATCTATACAGAATCTATATTTGCAGATAGAGGGCAAATGAAAAACCAGGAAGAAGTATTTAATGGCCATACAGGTAGTAGGAATGTTACTACAGATGGGTACAATAAGTACAGAAGGGATAGAGAGGGAGATAGAGGAATAGCAGCTACATGCAGAACACAAAGAAATAGTAAAACTGGTGTTATTTGTGAAAGAGATATGGATGTGGGTGACAGAGAATTCTTCAGACATCAGAGTTCATAAAAGAAATATTTACTAGAATTCTTCATTGCTGAATATTAACATGCCAAATTCTGAAAGAGGGCTGGAGGGTTCTAAAAGGCAGCACAATTACAGCATAACAGAACTATGCAAAAGAGGAATGCAGAAAACGAAAGATGATCAACATATCTTTCTGAGGAACTTCTCAAAAGATCCCACTAAAATCCCAACCGTAACCTTTATTGTGGAAATGGAGAAGGAAGAGGAAACAAGATTAGAAATCAATCAAAACTTTCCATGAAATAAATAAGGACAACAAAAAAGCAGACTGAATGAACTTAGACTAGCAAAAGGGCAGGGGGAGTAGGGAAGGATTCTACGGAACAAATTAGCATTATTATTTATTAGGGCTGTCAACTGACATGCGTTAATGCCTGCAATTAATGCAGGACAGGATTAACATGTTAATCACTGGTGTTAATGCTGAGCTGCCCCTTTGAAGTGCCGCTGCAGCGCTTAAAAGTTGCTTTGCAACCTGAAGCCAGGGATCAGCTGGAGTTTCCAGCTGATCCCAGGTTTCGAATGCACCACCGCAGTGCTTCATATGGGCAGCGCTACAGAGAGCCGGGGTCAGCTGGGGACTCCAGCTGATCTCAGGCTTCTGCAGCGCTGCTCCTTTGAAACGCTGCGACAGCATTTCAAAGGGGCAGCACACACGATTAATTGTGCGATTAATCACAATTAAATTTTTAAATCGCTTCACAATCCTATTATTTATTTGTATTATTGTAATGCCTAGCATAATGGTCCATTGTGCTAGGCATTATATGAACAAGGAACCGAAAATCTAAGTAATAAACCCCCCCATAAAAATAGGCCCCACAAATAAAGGATCAGCTGAAGAGGTGAAAATGATGAAAGCTCTACATGATTGAGATACTGACCTTTTAAAAAATCTTCACTGAATAAGAAAATAAAGCATTTCCTTCCCTTCATTTCCAACAAGAAAGCAACAAATTCAGAGGGGGATACTTACATAGTTCGGTACTGAACTCCTCTTCTTGAGTGATATGTTTTACATCCAACGTAGAGAATGGCTAGCAGTCCAAGTGTCAGCACAATGCCACCAACAAAACTTCCCACATCAAATCTAGAAGTTCTGGCTAGTACACCTGCAGATTTTGGTGTGGCTAAGATGAAAACAAAAAGATGTTTTTACAATGTTTGTAACTTTTACTATAATGTATCATGACTATAGTTACTGTCTAGGTTCTTATATACCTTCTGTCCAACCATCATATCATCCAAGGACCTAAGGTGACAATTTTCTTCAGTACTGTTGGTGAAATACTAATCCAGAGCACATTCCTAAGTGCCAGATTATGGCCAGCTTCAGCACATATGATGAATGAGGAGGATGGCACTAGGACCTGCTTTGCTCCCTAACACACCTGCATAGGGTCCGGTAAGAGTCCAACTGGCAGGCAACCCCTCTTTTACACAACACCTTTCTGCCCTGATTAGTGGAACTGGCCAAGCATGGAGTGGGGAATGCAACAGACTCTCTTCCAGGTTGGTGCTTTCTAGAGATCCACAGAAGAGCTAGGACTTTAGAACACCAAACACAAACTGATCAGTCATAACCAAATACTCATTTGCATGCCTAGATTCCCATGCTATGATATATTCTCACCACACTGTTTTTATTAGAAATGACTAGACAGCGACTCCTCTTGTTTATCTGAATCAAGACTCAGACTTAGAAAAACTGGGTTTTTTTCACCTTGAGATACAGCTATTCAGCATAACAGAAACCTGCATAATCAGCCTCTGCCTATGAGAGTCCTGCCCCAGAGATCATGTACCAGGGTAACTCATCCCCCAGTTTCACCCAGATAATTCCAATCCCAAACTGATTTAACTGCTGAGGATCCCAGTCAAAAGATGCAATTTGAGCTGCTGTAGCCAATCAACGTTCCTTGGCACCTGCTGATATTAACAGGCTCTTCTCACACTAAAACACTTCAGCTAACTGGAAGCATACAATCTGCTTGTAAGTGTCAATGTGGGAATTATGGGAGTGGTTTGGGTCAGCAGCTGCCTGCTGAGGAACACTGACACTGCGAGCCTTATGTTCACATCTGATAATATTCCCTCATATGCAGTGTAACCCACTCAGTGTGGCATTATGTCCACCTCCTCTGGTGACAGGTCACACACAGAAGTTCCTGAGTCTGCTACAGTTTTGGCTAACAGAGCTACATCTTTCAGCTCAGGAAGTAGAGACTCAAGTGTTCAGAACTAGCGGTCCCAAATTCAATCCCTGCTGCCAACTATCCATCCAAAGCTGTGGTATTAAATAAGTTCATTAGGACCTATACTTCCTAAATGGAACGGTCATGCATAGGAACTATACTACACAAAAACAGGTCATTTAGAATATTAATTGAGTTCAACTGAGAGTTTAGATTTGATACTTGATAATGAAATCCTCTCCCAAATTGAATTACTGCCTTCAGAGAAAAAAGAATGGAAGGAATGACAGAAATATTGAAGCTGAGTTCTTTAGCCTCCTGATGAGTTCATGCTATCTTCTATAACAGGCTTTCATCCAACATGGGTCTCATGTAGGAGAGAGAATGTCTCATATTTTTAGTAAACAAGTAGGGCCTTTCTTGGCTTCACCGTCAGCATGCTCACAGAATGTTAACTGCATAACTATTGCCAGATGGTAAGATGGTGTTGTCACTATACATTTTCCCTTTGTTGTTGGTACAGAGATAAACTCTTAGAAATTCTTCTCCAGCATCTGGAGGCTGTATATCATCAACTAAATGAACTCAGCAAGTGTAACAGGCTTAGCTGATATCAACACAGAATCCTAGAAGCTGGAGAGAAGAGGGACTTATCAGGTTATCTAAAGTGTGTCACCCTTTCAATGCACCATCATTATCTATTATGTTTGTATTGAAGTTTTCAGTTTCAATTTTCATAGCAGGGGAGAGGTACATATTTTGGTCATACAAAGGTCTGGTGAACAACTGCTAAAAAAAAAGGACCCTGGTGAAAGGACAATATAAATGATCTAGTCCATCATGAACAAATCAAGTTCTCATCAAATAACTGTTCTTGTAAAACTCGTGTCTCTGAACTCAAAATACTGAGTTACCACTAACACAGTATACAAGCAAAATGCAGGACAATGTAGCACTTTAAAGACTAACAAGATGGTTTATTAGATGATGCGCTTTCGTGGGCCAGACCCACTTCCTCAGATCAAATAGTGGAAGAAAATAGTCACAACCATATATACCAAAGGATACAATTAAAAAAAATGAACAAATATGAAAAGGACAAATCACATTGCAGAACAGAAGGGAGATGCGGGGTGGGGGAGGGGGAGGAAGGAAGGTAAGTGTCTGTGAATTGATGATATTAGAGGTAGGGAGAGTGGGATGTTTGTGAGTTAATGGTATTACAGGTGATAATTGGGGAAACTGTCTTGATAATGGGTGAGAAAGTTCAAAGACTTGTTAAGTCCCTGGTGGTAAGTGTCGAATTTTAACATGAATGACAGTTCAGAGGATTCCCTTTCAAGTGCAGATGTAAAAGGTCTTTGTAGCAGAATGCAGGTGGCTAAGTCATTTAGAGAGTGTCCTTTCTGGTTAAAGTGGCAAGAAACTGTTTTCTCTTTGTGATCTTGTCTGATATCTGTTTTGTGGGCATTAATCCTTTGGCGAAGTGTCTGAGATGTTTGTCCAATGTACATAGCAGACGGACACTTTCGGCACATGATAGCGTAGATTATATTTCTGGATGCGCAGGAATATGTGTTCTTGATCCTGCATCCTCCTTCTGTTCTGAAATGTGATTTGTCCTTTTCATATGTGTTCACTTTTTTTTTTAATTGTATCCTTTGGTATATATGGTTGTGACTATTTTCTTCCACTATTTGATCTGAGGAAGTGGGTCTGGCCCACGAAAGCTCATCATCTAATAAACCATCTTGTTAGTCTTTAAAGTGATACATTGTCCTGCATTTTGCTTCAGCTACCCCAGACTAACACGGCTACATTTCTATCACAGTATACAGGGTAGTTCCATTCCTTAATATCACTACAAAAAACCCTAGTCAAATTATTCATTAACTTTTAGCTTGAAGATTGGATTTTTAAAAGGTAGTAAAGGAGTAGGGTGCCCATTCCAAGGTCCCATGTAACATTTTCAAAACTGACTTGGAGTTTTAATTTTTTAACTCAGTTGAACAAAACTTCATTTTTATTTAAGTGTTGGCAGGTCAGAATCTGACCTCAATTATAGCTCTGTAAATCTTTCTGTGGAGTAACCCAAGATTTACTCTAGTAACTCAGTAGATTCTTTTTTCTTTTAAGGAAATGTTGACGGCTGCAGTTCATAAACAATGGAGAAACATGTATAAGATAGCCAATCAGATAATACTATAATTAACGGTAAGTCTGGCATGTTTATTTCTTGAATATGAATTCACCAATATGTGCCATTTAAAAACTCCCAAATGCACATTGGGTCAAATGGCCTTTTCCTAAAGGAGATACTTAAAGCTAGCTTTCAAAGACTGCCAAACAATGTCGGTAACAGAAGAATATATGTTAGCACACTGTGGGAAATAGGCAGGAGTCTATAGTACGTACCCGTTACAGAGGTGGAAGGAGACATAGTCTTGGAAGTGGTCACTGTGACATTGATTGTGGATCGTGTTGTTGTACTGGGCTTTGAGGCGGTGGTTGGTTTAGCTGTCTGTATGGTGGTATTGGTAGTGGTGACTATCTGGGTGGTGGTGATGGTTGTTTTGGTAGAACCTATAAAAAGTGGACAATAATGGTAATACAGGGAAAAACATTTAAAAAGACAATGCTAACCATAACTCAAATTGCAGCTTTTGATTGACAGTTTTGAGAGATTCTGTGTAAAAAAAAAATCTATTTTTGTTCCCGTGCAAAATGGCAAACTATCCCTTCAGAAAGGAGGGATCACATTTATCATGTTCTGCTCCTGTAAGCATTTATGCTACCAGCACATTGTTTCAGGTCTTAGAGACCACCTCCCCACGTGCACTTCCCAATGCTAGTGCCCAGTGTTCAACTCCAGAAATGGATGACAGGGGCCTCTGCTGGGTAAACTGCTCTATCCTACGCCTAGTTAGAGCCCACATTTGGGAGACTATTATGCACAATGAATTTCTTCAACCTGCTTTTTCTTTTTCTTAACTTGAGCTCAGAGCAATGACAGTGCTTTGGAGGTAGTAGGAAGAGAAGTGGGTTTGACTTCTGCAAATTGTTAGCTTATCCATTAGGTGAAAATATTGTCAATACAGATTATTGTTGTCAGCAAAAAGAAAAGAAAACACATGAGGAAAAATTCTGATCAATTTCACAAGTGTTAAAGTCTTTAGTGATTCTGCTGAATTCAACAGCATTAATTTGGATTTGCACTGATCTACATCTAGCTATGAAAAACAATTTTACTATAAAATGCCAATACTTTTTACATTGCTCCAATTAAAGTCCACGGCAAAACTCCAACAGGCTTCAGTGATTATCCCTAAATTCATAAATTACTCTTGATGATGACACTGACTCTACTTACATTGCAGGTGTGTCAAAGCTGTTTTTATATAAAGAGATTTCTGTTCCCAATCCTATTCTTAATGATGACCTCAGTTTAGGAAAGCAACTCTATTCTGGAAAGCACTTAAGCACATGATTTATAGTTGAAGTTATGCAGATTCTTACACGTTACTGAATTAAGGATGTTAAATTGTGGTTATCTGGCTAATCGTGTAGTAAATATAATTTGTATCGACTACATGATCAGTCTATAAGGGCCGCTCTGCAGAGGATAGCTCCAGGAGCCGCTCTGCAGGGGATAGCTCCAGGAGCCAACTCAAGCTGGGATTGAGCAGTCCCCAGCTTGTGCTGGCTCTGGGAGCCACCCGTGCTGTGGCTCTGCATTTTAAATCTAGTAAGGGCCACCAGGCTCTTGCTACATTTAAAATGTGAGGTGGCTCCTGTCCAGGGTGAGGCAGGACAACTGCCTGATGGGATCCCTGTGGACAGGGGCTGCTGCCGGAGCACCCAGTACCGGCTCCTATTGGAAGTGAGTAGTCAATACTCCACTCGACTAACCAATAAGTTTATGCATGCTTATCGGGTAATCCACTAGTCGACTATCCACTAACATCCCTATAATGAATCAGGGCTTTGAGTGAGTGATTATAAGACTGAGATCTTAAAGATTTCAAAATGACAAATCTTAATTATTCATAGAATCACAGGACTGGAAGGGACATCAAGAGGTCATCTAGTCTAGTCCCCTGAACTCTTGGCAAGACTAAGTATTATTTACCCCAGTGGTTCTCAACTTATTTACCATTGTAGCTACCTATGCAGCTCTCTATACGTTGTGTGGGTTACATCCACACAATATATACACTACCTGGACAGCTACCAAAAAACCAAAACAACCCCCCCTCCCACCAAAAACCAGGGTTTAGTATGTGTTGTAAGACAGCAATATAATTAAAATCAATATAGAATCTTTCATTTCAACACTGGCAAATATCTACCAAAAGCATTTAAATTAGCAAAACAAATCAAAAGATTAATTATTAAACTTAATTTACTGTAAGGGCTACACTGCACAGTATATTACCACCCTCACTTCTGGGGGGTTGCTGGTAGTTTGGCTGGACTGAGGCCTGGAGAGCACAGCTGCAGAGACTGTTTGCAAAGATGGGGAATCCTGCTTGGTGCCCTCCAACCAGAGACAGTTCTCCATATACCCAAACCCTCCTCAGACTTCCCTCCCCCTGGAAATGCTGCACCATCATCCAACCCGCACTGGGATTTTGGTCCTTGGGTTGGGAAGCCCACTTCAGTGGGGGTCACTCACTCCGTGATCTTGGAAGGCATGGGGGTGCTGAGCACCTCAGCCTAGTGCCAATGCTGCCAGGATGGGGAGGGGCTGATGTCGCTGGGCCTGATCCTGCGAGGCGGCTGATGTTGGGATTAATACTGCATCACCGCATTTTTATATCCTCTTGGCCAGCTCTTCACCTGGGGCAGGTGCCTGTCATGCCCTACTCTAGTTACAGCACTGATGATGCCACAGACGCTGGAGCTGTCTGCTGTCTGGGCCTCAAGCAGGCTGTGTTCTGAGAACCACAGAGCTGGACCATCCCAGACAGATGTTTGTCTAATCTGCTCTTAAAATGACGGAGATTGCATAACCTCCCTTGGCAATTTATTACAATGCTTAACTAACCTGACAGTTAACATTTTTTTCCTAATGTCTACCTAAATCATCCTTGCTACAATTTAAGACCATTGTTTTTAGTCCTCACCTCAGAGGCTAGAGAACTATTTTTCTCCTTTCTACTTGTGACAATCTTTTATGTACCTAAAAACTGTTATGTTCCCCAAATTATTTTGTCATTCCTCCTAGATCATGTTTTCTAGGCCTTTAATAATTTTATTACTCTTTTCTGGACTCTCAGGAAAGATTCATCCACATCTTTCCTGAAATATGCCACTCAGAACCATATACAGTACTCCAGTTAAGACCTATTCAGCACAGAATTGAGCGCACAAATTACTTATTGTATCTTGCTTACAACACTCCTCTTAATACATTCCAGAAAGATGTTTGTTTTTTTGCAAAAGTGATAAACTGTTAACTCATATTTAGCTAGTGATCCACCGATCCCTTTCCACTCTATTCCTTTGGAAGTCCTTTCCCATTTTGTGTGTGTGCATGTGACTGTTCCTTCCTAAGTGGGATATCTGGCATTTGTCCTTATGAAATTTCATCCTATTTACTTCACATCATTTCTCTAATTTTTTCAGATAATTTTGAACATAAATCCTATCCTCCAAAGCACTTGCAATCCCTCTCACAGCTTGATATTGTCCATAGATTTTGTAAATGTATTCTCAATACCATTATCTAAATCAATCATGAAAATACCTAATCAAATTGATCTCTGTGGGACCCCATTTGCTAACCTTTCCAGCTCACATGTGAATCAGTGATAACTATTCTTTGGGAATTCTTTTCCAACCAATTATGCACCCATCTTATAGTAGCTCCATCTATGTTGCATCTCTTGTTTATGAAAAGTTCGAATGAGACAGTATCAATAGTTTTACTGAAGTTAAGAAATATCATATCTACCACTTCCTCATATCCATAAGGCTTTTTTTATTACATCTGAAATCACAGCACAAAAGAATACCCATCAGATTCATATTAGATCCTGGATTTCTTATGGTCCTCCCTATTAGGGTGAAAATTAAACTAAGTACTACTACATGAGGAACAGCTATTTATGCTACTGCAGAGAGGGATGAACTTGCTGAATTTCAAAGAATGGAATGCTGTTTCACAAATTCTGGCTGACATGATTTTTTAAAAACTTTGATTCTACTCTTACCAAACACTCTCTCTCCTAAGAAAGTGACAGTGAACTGTTCAGAA